AGAATCTGAGGCATCTTACGGAAACAGGTTGTTCGTTTGAATAAACGACCTCAAACGGCTTTTATTCTAATTGCCAAAAATAATTGAGCGTCAGCGGCAGCTTTCTGTCAATTGGTTTGCCAGCATTGACAGACGGGCGGGTCGAGGTACCGGTTATTTTTAATTAGGCGAGAAAACCCGGCGCTGACTCTGCAGAAATGGGCATGAAAGCAGAGTTTCATAGCGGTAATGATGAAAACAAGTGGCGAAAGGACATCCATGATGCCACCTCAAATGTCGATGAAACACAAAGCAGGCAATGCATCAGTGACTTCCACTGGCAACTGAGGAAAATACATGTGGCCCCCTCCCACTGCTGTCGTAAAGGCCTCTCTGATAACAAACCGCTGAAAGTCGCAGGAACTCATCGAACATGCCTAGGGGATATGAAAGTCTGCAGGGATGCAGAAGAGGACTGCGACCAAAAGATAGTGGTGGCCAAAGTTAGTCAAAGTCCCTTTCTTTAATTAGCAGCCAAACTCTTAGCCTACGGTTTGAAGCTGACAGGTTAAAATGTCCAAAATATCTCGGTTACGATTTATGGATATGATAAACTTTAGCTACTGATTGTGCAGGCGGCATAGCGGCAGAGAAAGCTTGGAACATATATAGTAAGAGGCAATGATAATAACGCACAAAAGTAAGTGGAATGAATGAATAGACGGAAGATATGCTTCTAAGATAAACAGCTGTCAAAGCTTCAGGAAAGAAGTACCGAAAGAAATTAAAATATTATTCAGGAAAAATAAAACAAGTGCCTAAAGGAGGCTAGTTGAAATAATTGAAGAAGCAGGCTCGAGAAAACAATGTAAAGACCTGGTTCATGAAAGTTCATTACTTCTTCGAAAAAAGAAGTCTCAAACAACACCCGCTATGAAAAATGACGGCAACATCGGGTTCAATCGTACAGAAGTCATTGAGATATAAGGAAAACGACTTTAATCGTTATCAAACCCTCATGTGATTGTTAAGCAAGTTGCACTCTCTGTTACACCTTGACAAAAGATGGATGCTGACCTGGTAGTAATGAAGAAGTGAATGAAGAACAAAACAGCTGCAAGAGCTCATGGAATACAACCAGAGCTAACTAAGCAGTCCGAAACGAACAAAGTCTGACGTTGGTGAATCACTTTGGTTTGGAATGACGGAAACAGGAGATCCCAAAGGAATTGTCGTTCCATATTTATGAAAGGCTGTTGCACAGTGGAGTAATGCTACGTTTATCTTGCGAATAGGGAATATGCCACGCAATGCTCAGGAAGACTTCCGAAATGATTGGTAGATTTTGTTAGAACTGACATTTAATCGGAGAAAGTGAAAAATGAGTGAGCATGCATTTATTCGATCTCTGCATCCTTGCTGTAATGCAATATGAAGAAGAACGCAAATGGACGGTATTTTCGAGAACTTCACAGTTATGGTCCAAAACAAATATTCCTATTCATATGCTTCGCCTTTGCTTTAATCAGAGTCCAACGAACATTTCAGCTATAAATAAAAATGACCACTTAAACCTTTAACCATAGAATTATCATACATAATGCAATGTGGAACGATAAATTGATTCCCAGCATTACGTGATCATTGATCGTTCAAAGAACGGTTTAACGGATTTATTGACAGTCGATTGAACAGCGCGAAAAAACTGCTCTATGTTTACGTTCAATGTGATCGCGTTATTCTCGTCTACTTTTTCGCCCCCGTTGGTCAAAGTTCTTAATATTGATTCATCTCAAATTAGGTTTCTCTGGCCCACGAAGATATGCACATGGAAGCACCTCGATTCAATTCGATTAGAATAAAGCGTTGTTGAACTACTGCTTTACTTATTAGGCAAGCACGGCGAAGGCCTTATTAAATTTTCAACCTGGCGATCGTTGTAGACGGTCATTCGCTCTTGATGCTGCCAATTATGATTGACGCAAGTTTGTGGTAGTTACATCTACAGTGGCACAAGGGAAGTTTTGTTTTCTACAATTATTGACGATTTAAAGCAAATGGACATACGGAATCCCCTAGCAGTAAAGCACAGAATGCCCCTGAAATGCATGGCTTTCATTCACCTATGGATAACTTGCAAATGAGCATTACCAACTGGATTGCGAATGCCTCACGGCTAACATATTGACGTAGAAGCTCCGGCAATTTACATAATAAAAATTATGCCTTTGTGCCCGGTGTGAAACCTCTAGGCAATCCGCTTAATCTTTTGTCTACATGGATCTAGTACTATTTTTATCATAAATATTTTACATTTTGTTTTTTTTCAGCCATGCGCCTTAGCTTCGTTGTATGACATTTCCTGTAGCAAACTTTCCACTCAAAGATATGGCCTCGCCACAGATGCAAGTCGACGTTCAGGTAGCCTTTTCAGTGTTGCTCCCATTGCCTTCATCGTTGACTAAACAGCTTCGCCACAGTGTCTGTCCAGCGTGTTTTTGGACGACCGACGGCGATGGAGCGTGTGTGCCGCAAAAGGGGGTCCATTTGGTAACTCGGGCTGTCGACCAGTTGTCTTTCAGAAGAACCGTATGGTCACCCCATCGTCTAGTAGAGTTGTAGGCAGCAATGGGTACATCCCAAGGTGCTTTCCAACACCGAACTATCGCACTTGGAACATGCTTGGAGCATGGACTCGAAAAGAGACCTCGCAAATTCCTTTTCCACCCTCTTTGCGTTACTACTAGTTTGGTTTCTTTCCTCATCATGGTGGTCATGGACGATAGACCGTGCAGTCGAACAGCTACTTCTTCATGGAAGTGGACAATTCGTCATTCAGCAGGATTGTCTTCATGTGACCGAAGCTTGCACACGCCGCCTTCCTTCTTCTGATGATCTCACCGTTGACGTTGTCATCTGAGACTATTAAGTAATCGAGGTATTTATGGCTACCAACTATTCCACCTCTTCGTCTTCACTTAAGACGGTACCCACCTGGCTGTATTCGTTGTGCAGCCATTTCTTCTTTGAGATGTTCCTCTTCCGACTAGTGGCACGTAACTCCTTCTGCAACTCTACAATTTCTCTTTGAAGTTTCGGTGAGTATTTGATGAAGATTATGACGTGGCTTACAAAAAGCAGATTGCTGAACCGTGAGACGGTTTCTGTCGCGATGCTAATGCCGCCATCACAGTTCATACCTTTAAGGATGGATTCGATGGACGTTGCGAATGGCTTACTATACATTCTGTCTCTTTGGCTTACTCCTCATCTGCTGCTGATTCGACACGGTTTCTCGAACAGCTAGATGTTGGCTGCGGTGCTAGTATTCAATTCCTCGATGAATGAGTAGCCGAGGAGAACATGGTACTTTCCTCACTTTTCTGTTAAGTGCTTCACCCTATGGTGTGGTGTATGGTACAGAACCCCGTCCGGTAACCGGCTTATTCTGTATCACTGAGCAGGTTTAGGTCTTAACTGATAGAATTGAAGATATCTCGAGTAAACACTCAAAGGTTTAAGGACTTGTACAGATCTGGGGGTCTTATGCATTACTTTTATTGAGATCAAAAGATCATCAAAAATTCAAAAATCTCTTCCATGATAGCGTCTTTCTCAGTCTGATGTACCTGTCGCAGATTAGTTGACAGGGACTTTGAATAAAATCATTTCTCCTGACTTGAAATGTCCTGGTTTCCTGCCGCATGCCAAGACATCTGCAACGCTTAATATTCTGAAATGCCCATACTACTTCGTGTAGGATGGCATCAAGAACGATATCCAGGCAACGAAAGGCAGCTTACGGATTACCTCTGAAAAGTAGGGCTTGCAGAATCTCTGCAGATCGCTCTCATGCGAGAGTGATCTGCTATTCTAGCTCCTCATTCGTCTTTTAATACTTCCAGAGTCCTCATTTTTGTGAGGATGACTTATTCCGCGGTCTTCTACCTCTTCTTGATTGATGCGGTCTCACTTATCACAGTACTTTTGAATGTTCTTCCATGTTTCAATGCACAGAGCAAGGTACTCGTCGTCCAGTTGCTCATAAGCCTTGATTCTGGCTCTTCTGCCCAACAACTGTCCCATTACAGTGTTTGTACGTTGTTTCAAAACACGTTTATGATGTATCTTGGGCAAGGGTTACGAGACGGAAGCAGCGCTTGTTTCGCTTTTAACTTCCAAATATGCCGATGAAATACTCTGTCTCGATTATTTCCTTTCTTACCGTGGCGTTGAAATTTCCTTGAATTATTACACGTGTTGCTATTCATTTCATATTCAAGTAGTTTATATTAGTAAAACTTAGCCCTAAACATGATCAATAGATTAAAACCAGTTATGTCCATAAATAGAAGTCAAAAGAATATTTGATATTTTGAATATGGTTTAAGACTATCCTGTCAAATTCCTCTGAGTGTGTAAATGTAGAATTGAACTTGCTGCCAGACATTGAATTGAAGCTCAGTGCCAGACAACCGTATTTCAGCAGAATTCCACATAACCAACCGATTACCAAAAACGTATTAAATAGTGTTCGTTTAATAGAACCTTTGAAGAGCTAAATGGCCTCCAAAGAGAACAGCTGGAATGAACGAAGGACAAACAACGACTTCCTGAATGAGGAAATAAGGCAGTTAAAATGTTACTAGTGCTGTTGAGTCAAGAAAATAAAAGAAATCCGAATTATTCTCAGCTTACCTTTCCTGGACAGCGGCAGGCAAACAGTAGCAGGGAATGAGGCGACTAATGCAACTGCGGTTCTCGAAAGACAGTGCGTTCGGTCTCTCGATTGAGTCAATCCGTTACCTCGAGGAAGAACCACAGGTGATCCAAGAGAGGGAGAACGATCGAATTGACTGAGTGACCGATAGTGTCACCGACAGTGGTCGTCCGTCAGAGGCAGATGTGACAGCGCACAGCAGAGACAATCGAACGACGAGTGACGACTACGAGACTACATTTTCGACCGCAGCCGCAACAAAGGCGTCCTTTCAGCCTTTGACCCAAGTTCTTGTTCGCTAATGCGCGAGTTAATGCAGGAGGCGGGGACGGGGGCCGCCGTCCAAGTCACGTCTGCCCTTCGCGATTTGTTCATATCCGTCATAATCGCCTGCCAGCTGGACAGCTGTGACCCGTGTCAGTCGTCAAGCGATGGATGTCAGTTCTGTACACTCATGTCTGCCTGTTTCCTCCCACCCCCGTCGCCGATTGCTTTCACGGCTCGACGGCACGTGACTCTACCGGCCGGTCATTATTTTCTGTACGGTGCTCATTAGCACACAATCCAGATTGCCACCACATTCAACCTCTGCCGGTGGGTCAAAGGGCTACTTTCGCTACCGAGGGAACAGTCGTATTTAATCCTTCCATTTTTAGGTGTACATCGCACAATAGACTATACACCTGTAATTAATTATTGCATGGTCAAATCTGATAGATTAATCACTTCGCTCCAACTTCGTTGTCATCGTTTAGCCAGATATGACACTCATAAAATAAATCAGTGACCAGTTAGTCCTTGCACAATCGAATGCCACTGGTCGAGGTTGCTCGAACAGCCACTGGCGGAAGGATAGGAATGAAAAACTATTGAAAACAGTATGCCTCGACTGGCAAGCACATGGCAATCCGCCGAACTCTTTATAGAACTTCTGTGCTGAGCACATCTCTATCAACCAATATTCCTTGTGGAAAAATTTTGGGCCATCGTTCGCATTAATCTCTTAAGAAAGCAAGGTAAATTTTTTATCATGTCTTCTACCCTTTAAAGTGAATGAAAACCAAACTTGCTTGATAGAAGAAAACCTACCCTTTGGATAGCCAAGACACTGGATATCTGGCGACTATACATGTACATAATAACGTTTCCTGAAGTTGCACATTCATGCAGCTGCTTCATTTGTCACTGCTCCTTTTTGGCGGCTACAGAGCGCATTCATCAGAAGCATAAACCCATAGGAACATGATGTGCGTCTGATGCTCAGGTTGACAGATGCAAACCAAGCCATTCAAGGTGGGAACGTTTGATAGAATTTAAAATTTTCTATCTCTACATATGTATGACAGCAGATACGGTCAGTTCAAAGGCTACATATACAATGGGAAAATTATGAAAGTTATTAAATGAGAATTCTGAGGCGTATTTGGGAGAATCTACACATGCACATAAAAATGCAGAATACTGCAGGACACTAATGAAGCCATCCATCAGTTCATCGTTCTTGCTAAAAGACCTGAATACACGACATGTTAGTATTTACCTATTTTCGTTTTCTCACGATTTCTCTCATGTTTAATCTTTAACTTAGTTTATTGCTTTATGAAGCACATCAGTACGAAAAGGCACAAGAGTTTCTTTCTGATAACAGAAAAAGAAAGAGACAGTTGGATACCTGGAAAAAAACCTTTTCCAGACATGTAGCTATTTCTTTCCAAATCTGAAGTATTGTACTCGTGTT